TGTTTTACAGACGCTCCCATGCTGTGTTTCAGGATATCATGTCAGCTGTGCTGCAGTACGCACGAGGTATCTGGCGCGCTGAGCAAGCTTAAACATGCAGCCACGAACATGTGCCTAGGACTAGACTAAAAACAGATGTTTCCAGGAAATGTAAAAGATGTTTGGCATGTTTGAAGCTTATACTTTCAGCTTGTCTGCGTTTGAGTAAGTCCCATATTAATATAAACAAAATGACAATGCCTTCTCTTGCGAATGACTGATTGATTAATGGAACTATTGCTGGACCACACAAAGTTTGGTAGGTTAGGTTATTTCTTCCCAAGGAAAAGATGGATTGTTCTGTCTTGACATTTACCATGGCAGGAGCTGAGGCAGTTCTACGTGTGGGTTTACTTTTTAGCCCTCAGAACCAGCACTATTTTACTGTGGCTCGTGAAACTCCTGCAGAGTTTGCTATGGCAGCTGTATATCAAAAGGCAAACAAATACAATGACAGGTTTCCTTACAGCAGTATGGCTGAGATAATGGCCTATTCTTTCTATGTATATATATATATATATAGTATTATGTATATTGCATTCAAATGTATGTAGACAAAAGATCCTTTGGGAATGGGGGAAGGAGTTGCCAGTTCATGTAAGTGTGGCTTCTGACATGTCAAATGGGTTCACGGCTGTTCCTGACTCTTTTTGTATTGCATTGTTTTCTTTGTTGCACTGGAGTATTGTTGGAATGGTTGTTCACAAAAGTTCCAGCCAATGTCATTTCTTGAGGAGAGTGGGTATGATTCTTCCCAGCCTGAAGAATTTACATCCAGAATGCACAAACCTTGTCGGAAATAAAGTAGTTGTCTCGCTGGCCTACAGGGAGAAGTGATCTGCCAAAGGTCACACAGAGTTTAATGCAGAATTTAAAAACTGGACATAGATAACACTGATCCCAATTCAGGACTATCCCCCCAAGGCCAGCTTCTCTTCGGTCACACTCTGCTAGAGCAGAGAAATGGAAGGATGGCAGAAGCAGAATGGGACACATCAGTTAACCCTCATAATCTTGTCCCGCGACGCTTCTGGAGAGGCTGGCCTAAACCTAAAGGAACTCAGCAGTGAAGTGAGGAGAGTGACCTCTTCGGTTGTAACTCCTGTAGTTCTTCCCTTTTCTGGTGAAAGATTTTTTCCCCCTAAGACCAAGTTTCTGTAAGGAGGTGTGTGGGGATAAGGCCTGTATGGACACCCTGTTCTCAGGCTGAAATAGAAAGGGGTGGAACAGTACGTGCATGGGAGGCTGCCGACCTTTAATTACTCCCTTCTTCTGGCTCCAAAAGGGATATATTACACCTGCCTACTCCTGACTAGTGTTATATAGCGGACAGTAACAGCCTCCAGAATTTGGAGAATTGCATCACGAGTTCATCACACTTTGGGAATTCTCACATTCCGATTCCCACAGCGTTCCGGTTTCCATTTGTCTGCTGCGGCTGCAACTGGAAATAATTAGTGCTGGTCTTAATGTCAGGATAATAGATTATTTGGAAATTGTTGGTACGTTTTATGGCAACAGCATTGTTTTGCAATTTCAGAGCCCCTTCCTTTGAATATGTAAAAGTAATTTCAGCTTTTGCTACCAGAGGTGATAAAAAGCTAATAATAACACTGCAGCGTCTACTGTAATTTAAGAGCCTGTTCCACCAAGCTGCACCTAGCTTTAATTTTCTTATGAAGCTGTCAGCCAAAACCAAGCCTGTGATCGAAGTGAAATTTATCAAGCGACCGAGCTACAACATGGAGAGTAAATGCAGGTGCTGACCGGTTCACTTTAGACCTGCATTGTGAGTATCGTTACAACCGTGATCAGGCGTTCTAGACCAAGGCCAAGTCCCCTGGCCTAACCGAGCTGTTGGCCGCACTCAAGTAACCACGGGGCTGGGAGGGACTCTGAGCCCAGCAGACCTCGTCCTTGGGTAGAGTCCCCAGAGGCTGTGCACAAAGGCTGCTCTGGCGGCCCGCCGCCTGCGCTAAGTCCCCCCCTTGGCAGGGCTTGAATATTCACACTGCGAGCCGGGAGAAGGGAGCAGCACAGCAGCTACTGCAGTGGCTGTGCCGCTGTCGTGACGCAGTGATAAATAAACAGCGTAGGGCAATACTCGTGTGCCAGGGTCCAAAAGGCCGTCGCGTGTTAGCCAGAGGTTAGCTGAAGCCTTCAAAGGCTTTAACCGCTCCGTTTCTGGAAAGGAGAGAGGGGCTGATGATGGGAAGAAAGTTTCTAGCGAAGGAGAAAGCTTTTAATTGGGAGCCATAAAGACTTTAAAACACAGAAGGAAAATAGTAGAACAAACCAAAGCTGCGGGGTTTGCTTTGTTGGTTTTATGAAGTCATGCTCCGGGGGCTTGATTCATGGGCATTGAACATCTGGGGTTTGCTTTGTGGAGACTGGAGTCTCTTTTCTGTGCTAGTCCTCACACTGACACTTTTTTTGCTTGCTCACTATTTTTTTTGCCTTTTGAATGTCAGTGGTAGACTGAACATAACCATCTCTGACTCTGAGAAAAAGATTTAAGAGGAAAAACTCATTTAACTTGGAGTCTCTCAGCCAAAACCCCGGAGTGAGTAAGCAACAGGAACTCTGAAGAAACTGGAATAAAACATGAAGTCTTTACATTGTTGAAATTTGTGCCTGAAAAAGGATTGAAAAAGATCTTGAACGGAATTAGGACTGAGGCTATTTTAATTTGTTTTAAAGAAAAAAGAAGACAGAGCTTTTTAAATAAAATGCCAGTTTTGCACAATTAAATCCCAAATTAGAATTGGCCATGAACAGCACCAGAAGATACTCCGCTGTAAAGACAGAGAGAGAATTCACAATGTAGTCCTTCCCAAGGAAAGGATAAAGGCAGAATTTTCTAATGTATTATTTAACGCTTGTTATGTAGTGCATTAAGTCACTGAGAGGAAAGCTTTTAAAAACCAACAGCCTCTCTGATAGCATTAAATCTTACCTTAGATTTTTGGTTGAGTCAATACTAAGAAAATAAACGAATTAATACATTTCAGTCTGCCCAATTTATAGAGGCCAATCAAGTTACAATGCTGGACATGGCCAACTGAAAGAGGGGAATAGATTTACCTGAGTGAGGTCTTAATTTAATCAGCTGGCCCCAGAGAGCTGAAGTCAGCAGGCTGGGATGATATAAGAGGCAGCAGGGAACCAGTGCCTTTACCGCAGTCGAAGAGGAGAGTGACAGTGATGGAAAGGAGTCTAGGCAGTGTCAGAACACACCTATTTCCGTGATTTATTCTTAATTTACTTTAATGACAGTCTGAAGGTTGTCCATTTTTCTTTAAGTGTCCTCAGAATACTGATATTTTCTAAACATTTAGAGCGTGCTTTTTCTCCCCCTTGGCTCTGTTAGCTCCGTTGCAAGCGGCAGTTGAAGAGGAGCTGCGTCTGCGTTTTGCCACCGTGAATTTTGAGCGCAGGGGCAGGCCACCCTTCTCCCACTGTATACCTTGCCAACCAGTGCCCTCCTCTGCAGTCACCCTTGGGTCAGGTCGAGGAATCACAGGTTCCTCTGGGATTAATGTTGGCATTAGGGTAAAACGGAGGAATTCATTGCATTTCTTTTACAGTTTATACTGGCAAAAGAACAACGTGTGCTTTCCCAATACAATAGCTCATTTTTATTATCAAGTGAGTTTATTGATGGTTGTTCAGAACTACTGACATGTAGACAATGATCTCAGATTGCATTTGCATTTCTGGAATACTTTCCGTCTTCCCAGTTCCTGCCAGGAACTTGCTTCTGTGATTCAGAGTTTTTATTTTAGGATTGGACTGTTGTTTAATCTGCATTACAAATCTATGCCTTTTGCTTTCTTGTGTGTGTGCGCTGCATTCATCAGCATCACAAATCCTTTCAGCTTGGACCTGAACAATTACTGTTAATTTATAATTTCTGCCAGGTAGGAATTTGTTTTTTGCCAGGCATTTGGGGACGCTTTTACAGATTGACTGTAAAATCATCATCCCATCATCAGAGGAAATAGTGATTTATTATTTTTTTCCACAGTGCCGGTGAGAGGGTTCAAGGGCGGTATGATCTCAGTAATACTTGTAAATAGCTTGGGAATGTCAAGATACCTGGAGACCCTTATCAGTCATTTTCTCATTTAAAAAGAATCCATGTTTTTGCAATAAAGGCTGCCTACTACTGCTTCCTTATGAGTCTAGTCCTTTTATAAAAGATGCCCTGAATTGCCCCAAAATGCATCTGGAGAGAGAAAAAATAGATGTTGTTCTATACTTTAAAACCAAAAAATCCTTGTACTTGCTAGGAGACTCAATGAAACAAAACTTGAAGCATTTTCCCTTTGTAGCCACTGTTTTGCCCGTGTTGATGAACAAGACCTGTGAGACACCTACGGGTTTCCTCATGTCAGCAGTCTGTCTCGCCAGGTTGTCTTACCGTGTCAGGGGCCGCGGGCTGCTTTACAGCTATGGGTGGTGGCAAGGAAAAAAGAAGCCGGGAAGTTGGCTGGTACATGAAGTCAGTACGTTCTCTGGTCTCCTCCTGCAGCAGCTCGGCAACTTGACGGGTGTTTCACTGGGGCATGTTACAAAGCTGCTCAATCCTAGCATCGTGTTTTAAAGCATGAGCTAGTTCCCATCCCAGGTGGAACTGAAGGTGCTTTTCGTGAGAGAAGACCAGGTTCTGAGCCCAGTCCCTGCAGTGCAGAGTACCTGTTACTCTGCTCAGGCTGCGTCTGCAAGCAGATGAGTGGAGCAGGCCGGTCAGGAAAGACTCGTTGAGCACAACAGTGGGTGCTGAGGAGCCAGTGACCACACTGGGTCCAACTAAACCGTTAATACCAGTGCCCCACCGCTCCCCATACATAGTTCAGTTGTTCAGACTGGTGTACAACATGTTCCTGCAACAGGCAGAATTTAAAGGCACTATTTAAAAGACGCGTGATTAATCTTAACATTTACTTTCATGTTTTCAGATATACTCAAGGACAAGAAAACCCATCCAGAAAACAGGAACAAGCCAAAACCAACTGTGAAAAAGATTGACACCACAACCACCACAAGCACTGTCAAGTCATCCTCTAAACACAGTGTAACTGGAAAGGGGAGCAGTCCAGCCCCGAGTTCCTCACTTCTCATTTTAACAGCCCTAGCAGTTCTGTGGCGTTGTCCGCCGTAGCTGCCTTGCCTTGCAGCCACTGCGCAAGCATTTCTGTCGTTTATACCTACAGCCTTACCCAACAGAAAGCAAATCTAAGTGGCTCTCTAGTTTATGTGGTATGTTAGAAAAAAAGGGAAACGGTACGCTGGAGTTGGCAGATACCAAGTGTCGTCCCTTGCAGTGTCTGAAGATAGCCTTTGACAAAGCCCACCCGAGATGCAGAGGGAATGACGACAGCGGTCTGAGTAGTGTAAGTTATGGGGTAGAAATAACTGAAAACGCAGGAATTGTGTATGTGTGTGTTACTGTTTTTCTCCATTTTGTTCACTGGAATCTGACTGGCTGGTTTTGTTTGCTTAATTTTTCTGATAAATTATATAAATGGTCAGTCTTCAAATTCAAGCCAATACATACTTTATTTTTCTAGTGAACAGCCAGCTAACGAGCTATGTCTACAGTTGTAAACCATGTTACAGTGAAGTACTCTCTGCCAGCTTGATGAAGTTCCTAAGTGGTCAAGAAGATCGAAGCATGTTTGAAACTTCTTTTCACTATTACTGTTTAGATTGTAGGAAGCAACATACAGGCATATGGTGTGTCTAATGTATCAGTGTAGTTGCCTTAACTATGGAAAAAATTAGAAACACTTTGTTTGCTGAGGCATAGAGATAGCGAGTTTCCCGGCCCCCCAAAATGCCGTTACCAGATGCTTAAGCGTATGCTTGAGGCTTCTTGGATGAATGTCCAGCAACGGGAAACATCAATAAACATAATAAGGTTTTATCCAGTTGAACGCAGTTCTGTACAGAGAAAAAAAGATAATTCAGTTCAAACTTACTTTGCCTATGTGATGTTAAAGAGGAACCGACTTAAATTTTCCATAAAGGTCCCAGAGATATAAATCATTGGGAACTCCCATTAGACATTAACTAATTTTGTGCATTATGGTTCTCTGAAATCAGCTCTGTTTCATAAACTGTGTATTATTTAATTACATTTAATGTTTAAAATTTTGTATCATGGTAGGTGTAAATGTAAAGCAATCTGAAATCTAGAACATTCTCTGTTATGCATCATCTTGATTGCTACCCTAGAAAATGTCAAAATGTGCGTTATATTACAAGGCTATTTCTTTTTTAATGCATTTTAACTTTTTGGATGAACAAGTACTATAAGAACTTCTAATGGGTTAAGAGTTAATGTACGTTTTCCAACGACTGTTTACAGTGCCATTGAATATATATATACAAACACAACTGTATGAATACAGTGATTAATATGATAAATATATGAAACTTTAGAGTTGTTACATTTACTACATTTCATAACTATTACAACAGTTTAATGGCCATTTTCATGTTGTAGACTATTATTATGTACAGTTTTATAAGATGTAACGTAAAACACCTTTCTTTTTTTGTAATACTTCTCATTGACGCTTAGAGTTACGCAGCCACTGACCTAACTCAGAAGAAGAACCCTGTATCTTACTAATCACCTTCAGGCATTGTATTGGCCACTTTGTAAAAGACAGCCTGACTCAGAGAAGGTGCCATGTGCCAGTATTACTGCTGGATGTCGTTATCTAGGAGGTGGCAATAATGCAGAACAAGCATACAGTAAGTGAACAAAGACTCACTAGTCTGTTTTCAGAGAGTATTACTGAGCATCTCTAATTACGTTTGCAGAGGTGGAGCCTGAGTTTTATTTTTAATCTGGGCTCTTGGATCATGTTTACAGACACGAAGGTGTAATCAGAACCATTGACACCCAGCTGCAAAGGAGGTGTCTCTGAAGTGGTGGCAGCCAGTTTGCTAAAAGAGAATTCAATGTTAATGTTGAAAGGAGGAGATAAAATGGAAAAGATACTAACATGAAATGTTTTATATTTGATTTCCGATTTCTCAAAATGGTAAGAACATTAATATCGCTAAGTAGTGCTTTCCAATCGTATCAGTGCAAGTCAGTTTTCCCAGAAGTTCAGAAATAGCTGTCCTGTGTTTTCCAGGGTTTGTGAGCTGCACCAGCCTATTGAACCGTAATTAAAGATGCTGCTTCTTGTGTTCATTTTCACTGCCCTTTGGAAAAGTGCACTTTTACCTGAGGAGATGTGCAAGTCATGTCGTTTGTACAGTGAAAGGACACTGTAATTCGCTGCCGTCTTCAGAGATCAGTTGCGAAGGCTGCTGGAAGACAGGTTGGTCTCTGCACACACGCAGAAACGTGCATCAGGTGCTAACACTTGCCACCAGCTCCTCAGGTAATACCAATCACTGTGGCTTCACTGAAGCAATTCATACCTGTCCCTTGTGAACCTGACCCCTAATTTAGTATTCTCACACTTAAGATGCTCAGTCGTTGTTCAGGCAAATTCATCCGCGTTTGCATGCTTACATCTCCTTCGGGATCCCTGCGGATACAGCTAGGGTTTCAGGGCTGGGCTCTGACGCTTCCAGATTTCAGCTGTGCAGCTTGGAGTTTGCAGTTCTTCTCACCTGCAGAGAGGGAACTTGAATACCCAGAGTTACGTGTCTTTTTGAGGTCTTTTCTGTGAAAGGTTTGTGCTTTTAGCTGGGAGCAGTGATCCAGCTAGCCTGGTGTTCAGCTGCAGCGGGGGAAGTTGCAGAAGCCCTGCAGTAGTCATGTAGGGAATAACTCAGCCAGGGCATTTTTTCTTCTTTCTAAATATCATAATCTTGCTTAAAAAAAAAAACCTCGGAAGAATCAAGTGTTTGATTTTTGGGTTTGGTCGGCAAACATTGCATGATGCAGCATTCACCTCTCCAGCTGAACAAGACAACCCTGTTAAAGGTTCTGCAACAAAACCAGAAGTGCAAGCGGTGGGGTGAGACAGGTTGGACGCGTCTCATTGGATTCAGCCCGCATTGTGACAGACACGGATTGTTACGGAAGAAGGGAAGAGACTGCAGAGGACTCCACACCTATTAAAATATTCACACTAATATACTTCTACACTGTAAGAGTAGTACTGGTCAAATCAGCGTGAGATATGTTCATAATGTGCATCAGAAATGGTGCAGCTTTAAAGGGCAACGCAGTATATTTTTACTGATGGTTTATGATTTTTGTTCCTCAGGATCAATTGCATTTACATATTAAAAAAGAGTATTTTCTGTTGAACAACAAAACTATACCAACAAAGGCAAAAACAACTGGCTGTGTCAGATAAAGGCAGTATTTCTTTTCAGCTGAAGAAGATGCCTATCTTAGAAAATCTTACTTTGTTAGCCAGGACACTGTAATTACGATGTAGTAACAAAGGTCTAAATTCAGAATACTTTTGAACTTGTCTATGTAATCTCAGTGTAAAATAAGGCACCAGTCTAAGAGCATTGCTGTAGCTTTGCCTAACAGTTCGGAATTGTATTTAGCCACTGCTTTTTGAATGTTTATTGTTACGCTATGACTTTCTTTTCATATTTTGCTGTGCCAGCATTTGTGAATGCCAGCGTTGGAAGGTAACTGCTGTCATACACGTGTGAGTAAAATCAGTCTATACTTTTCTCCTGATAGTGATGCAGGCTTCTTGCCAAAGAAGACAAAATTGCCATGGGCGTACAGTCAGTTCTTTGTGTTGCACGGCTGTTTGGGCTCCGTGTTGCACCAGGCTCACGTGAGAGCTTCAAGGGGTGCAGGTGTCGTTAGTCCCCTTCCCGGCTGTGGAAGCGTCAGGGAGAAGAGCGAACATGGGTGGACAAAAGCACGGTGGCTGCATGTGCCGGTGCGTGGCAGCCTCCAGCTGTCTTCTCTGAGGCCCTGAGCCGAGCGTTCTCAGCTAATTTGCAGGCGGTTTTTACGCCTCTCCAGGTCAACGCGTGGAGAGCGGCCAGGCAAAGAGCAGCAGAGAATCTAGAGACTGCATTTTCAGGCAACTGCACAGACACCTGCTATGAACTGCACTTTCTTTACAATTTAGATGCTCTGCAGAATCTGGCCTCTCATTTTCAACCTAGCACTTTGTTTCTGGCTTGCGTATTGCCAGCGTTGTGCCCTGTCTTCCAGTGCGCCAGGTACTTTGTCAGTGTATAAGGAATTGTGATTCTGATCCCTCACTCACTAATGAACCTTTTGAGGTACAAATATCTGTCAGAGCTTGATAAGGGCAACACAAATAATCACGTCCAGCTGCACTGACTTCAGAGGCTCTGTGTGTGGGTATCTGGCTGTGAGATTCACATCTCTTTGATCTCTTAAATCAGATCTGTATTTAATATATCCGTATTTCCGTTCGTTACCAAGACTGCAACATGTATCATAATTTAAAATTTGACTCTAATCCTTTATGGGTCTTCTCAATGTTGTCCTAATGGGTGTTGTGCACAGGCTTCATTTTAATGTTAGATGAGCCTTTTGCCCAGATTTACTGAGCCATTCTTACTCGATGCCGTGCACGAATAGGTTTAAGCAAGATCTGTTCAAGCGAAAGGAGCCGAAACACACATTAAAGTGAGATACTGAGTAGGACAAACATCCAGAAAGTCCCTATGTTCCTGACTTGGACTCTTCACATTAAACAGATTTTAAGGTTTAGCTGGAATTACAATCAAAATTTCATAACTAGCATAGCGTCAAGGGGATTTCAGCCTTGTATGGAAAATCGATAAGGATTCTACCCATTTTTTACATGGGAATTAATTGATATACATGCTTTCCTCATGTCTCTGCACATGGGTGAATTTAGGTCTGTAGAAAGAGAAGACATTCCTTAAAATGTATCCTGCACATGAAGCGTCACAGCATGAGCTGTGCTTAATGTTACAACTAGCCAAAAGCACAAGACACTCATTTTCATTTACAGCATTTCACTACTCACAGCGCTTCTTGTAATGGCATGCGGCATGTGTGTTAATGAACATCTTAGAGTCAATGTCATTATATGTGACATGCGTTAGTCGAAAAGAACATGATAATGTCTTCTTCCCATTGCCTCAGAAGTCCAGAATTATTCCCAGTATGGAATTTGCTTCTAGTTTCCTCTGTCACTCTCTAAATAACTG